ATCTCAGGAACGCACAGCGCAACAAAGGGGATAAAAAAGACTGAGTGCATTACAGGGACACAGTGATTTTTGCCAGAAGTGGCAGAAACAAGATGCCGTCACCCTTGGGAGAGATTCTCATCTAACAACTGGGGAAGGTGAACTGAACCTTATTGAAAGTTGGCAGCAAGCTAAGGAGCATTGCAAAAGTTTGGGGCATCAGTAAAGAAAGGGGTCAGAGTTCTGTGTACTTTGAAAGTAAAACTGCAATATAGGGTGTCCTTTCAAAATGGGCCAGCATTGTTGGTTAAAAAAACCCACACCCAGGAAACAGAAACCCACACATCATGGGTGGAAGTATAAATTGCTGCAACCTCTCCGGAGAATAATTTGAGAATAATTCATAAGTTTAAATTACACATATCCTTTGAACCAGCATCTTTAATTCTAGAAATGTGTTCTACAGGTGTACATGCACTTGGGCACAAAGAAACATATACCATTATATTTATAGTTGCATTGTTCATAGTTAACAAAATAATGGTTGCAGCCTAAATGTCCACCCAGTGAGGATTGATTATATTATTGTATATTCACCCGTGAAATTAAATACTATGCAGGCATTAAGAAATGAGATTATCCTCTCTTTACTTTCATGAAACTGTCTCAAGATATCTATTTTAATTAGAGAAAAAGTCATTTATGTAAAAAACTGCGTGCGTATGCATTTGGATGAATAAATTATATCTGGAAGAATTCACAGGAAACTGATGAGGGGAGCTGCGGGGAAGTTAAGAAAAGTACTTGCCACTGTCTATCATTTATGTCTTTTGAGTCTGTTAGTCAGTCTAAATTGCCTTTTCAAAACTAATAAAAATTTCAACCTACTCTATAAAGATGCTTGAAAATTGGATTTTTATTAACAACTTTTAATTTTGATGTAATTTCAAATTTACAGAAACATTGCAAGAATACTACAAGAAACTTTCTTGGAGCATGCTTTGCATTTATTGTTATGTCTCCGATTTCTTATAAGCTGGAATATTATTCAGCCTTTCTCTGTTTCTTGACTGCAAAATTCCCTAGTTATTTTGTCGACTGTCCCTTAGGTTTGTCTTATGTTTCCTCCTGTTGGGATGCAGGTTTTGTGTCTCTGGCAGCCACCACAGAAGTGCCTGTTGTGGTTCACAGGGTTCTGGCCCCTGGGCTATGGGAGGTGAGCTCTCTCCTTCAGGGCACACAGGAGCTTTCAGGGAATTTTGTGGCACTTGAGCTGGGAGTTTGAATCCCTAAGCTCATTCTTTACATTCATCACTTTGTCCAGCAACATTAGGAGCTACCAGCCAACCTCGTGTATTTGTTAGTTTTCCAAAAATGTTCTAAAGTGTCATCCACATAGTCACCCACTTCCTGGCTTCTTACAAGAGGTAGATTAAGAGTATCCAGTGCAGATATTTCACATTTCTTGTTGCCAGATCATACCATGGGCTCTAAGGGTTCTCTCCACAACTGGAAACAGAGTCATTAGTTGTTTGGTTTTTTTAAAATAAATGTTTCAAAATTTCTGTACAAAAGACTGTTGTCCTCCAAACGCTATTTTACATTTTCTCCATTACTACTCATTAATTAAAAAAATTTTTAGAACCTCTTTCATTCAAAAGCCAGTGGAAAACATCTGGCTCACTTAATAAATATTTTTGAACTTCTTAAATTAACTTTTAAAAATCAATTGCCGTTGAGCTATTTTAACTATTTGGGGAGTTCTGAAGGAGCTAAGTAGAGCAAATGCCGTGACACTTGTGTTAGAGGTGGGGTGTCAAGAACAGCTTCCCAGAGGAGCTGATGCACACACTTCTGAGAGAGTGAGAACCTGCCAAGCAGAAGTGGGGAGAAGAGGCCAGGTGGGGAAAGGGTATTCCAGGCAGAATGCATCCCATGAGCAAACCATAAAGTCCTGTCGCTCTTGGGAACTGTAAGTCACTCACTAACGTGGACGTCAGAGTGACAAACAAAGAGGGCGTGGGGAAGTGTTGATGGGTAATTAGGGAGCCAGGTGAAGAGGACCTCAAGGCCAGAGCACAGTGACCTTGTGCCCTGCTGTGCAGTTTGTGTGCTACTCTTCAGGGTTCCTCACTGAGAGGGGTGTGTTATGATCATCTTTGTCACCGCTGTACATGCTTTTATTGTGTTACTTATCATACTATAGCCTTATTATTTATTTACAGTACTTCCCTGTTCTTTTTCTTTCTTTAATCCCCAGAGCCAGGCTCAGTGTGTGGCACAAAGGAGATATTGAGCAAATATTTGAGGACTACATCATAAAGGCTTATTACAAAAGTCCTGCACACTGAGGTGGAGGTTGTAGAAAATTCCTTCTTTGGTCTTTTGTAAGAGATGGTATCGTCCCATTTGTTTTCTAGGATAATTATAGCAATTCCTCCTGGAGGCAAACCAAGCAGGTGACCCGACCACATCACCTCAGTGCCTGCTTCAGCCCTGAGGCTTTCCAAGCTAATAGAAGCCTTCGCATTAGTGTTAGTGTGTATACTGGCACCATCTAGTGGTGATGTTAAGCCTTACCAAATTGAAATTTCATCTTTGATTACCAAAGTTTCAAATAAGGTTCTAACATTTTGTAAATTGCTGAAGCATTGTATTTAATATTGTATTATGTTGAACCTTTGCCACTGTCTCCAGGTTAATAATTATGCATCTGATAACTTTATTCAGTATTTTAATTGTGTCTTATAACCATGAGGGCTAGAACTTGTGATGAACAAAGTAATTCTATTTGAAATAAAATGAAATTTCAGAGAAAGTACAATATTAGACAGACCTGGAATCTTAGGACAACATTCTAATCTCCTGTGCCATTTGCTATTCCTCTTAGTCACCACGTTCCAGACTTATGAGGTAATTTTTTTCTAATATCCTTCTCTTTTTCTTTTTTCTCCTCCCTCTGTTTCAATGGCATTTTTAAAACTAAATATTCCTGTTCTTTTAATTTTTAGCCTTGAAGACAGTTGTGGAGCATGTCATGCAAATTTGAATGTTAAGCTAGAAAGGCTTGGGTCGTGAGCCTTAGCTTTTTATTACTTTCATGTGTCTTAGAACATGAGTTGTGCAGACATTTTGCTTGTGACTAACTGCTAGTTGATTGACAGCTGAGGCAGGGAAGCAGATTATAATCATTGAATGAATTCCTCATGTGTGGAGATTGCTGTGATTTAAGTAGCAATGTTAATAAAATAAAAGCATTTGTTAAAAATCTCCTTCCTGCAGAACATAATTGGAAACATAAAATTAATTGCCTTTTTTTTTTTTACAGTACTTACACAATGCCAGGGGGAGAGAAGGGTATAATTATCACCATCTTACAGATGAAGAAGCTGAAGGCATGGAGGTTAAGTACCTTTCACAAGGTCTCACTGCTATTAGGTTTGCAGTGCGAGCGTGTGAGTTTCCAGAACCAGAAGCAGGGACTCCAGCCAGTGCCTTTAGCTACCCTATAAACTTGCTGTCTAGCGATAAGAGGATGCATAGGAAAACCACCACAGAAAAAAATGCACAGAAAACCTGAAAGTAGTTAATAACTCCGATTTAAATATACACTAACTACTAGATGAAAATCTTGGTTTTAATTTATTGTTGACATTATCAACATCTGTTTGTTTTCCACTCCTAATTATAGCCACAGCCTTCTTTCCAGTGTGAAGGAAGTTTAGGGGAGGTTTTTGGCCTTAGGGTTCCAAACGCTTAGTTATTGCTGCTACACTGGCCACACAACAAGAGGCCTTAGAGACATGGCTACTGTTCACGTCAGCATCTTTTGTCCATCCAGCACTCCCTCCATTCAGCTCTCGGGAGTGGCCTGTCTCTCTGTGGGTCTTGGCAGGTGGAGTGTGATGGTGGTGACCGCTTGTCCGTTTGGGTGTTGGCCCAGCTCTGGTTCATGTGTGTGGATTAATGTGTAAATAGTGAATATGTATGGGCTTTCTAAATTTAAATTTTTTTCCCTGTAAATATAGACACATAATTTTGGGCAATCGCTGTCATATCACATATGCTGGGCGTTTTTTCCCTTCTTCTTTACTTTGTTGCTATGGCTTCCTTCCAACTGCCCACCTGACCTTCCTCCTGCTCACCCTATTGTATGTATAAAAGGACACATGAACATAGTATGTAGTCTTCTATACTTTCCCATGCTTACATAACCATTTATAAAATATATCTATGTACTGCTGTATATACTAATGATGGGGTGGCTTTTTAGCCTTTTGTGGTAAAAAGGTGGGATCAAAATCTAAAAACTTTAAAAAATATGTATACCCTGCATCCAGCTATCCCATTCCTGGCAATCTGCCCCATGAAAATGAAAGCACTGATTTGTAAGATTGTGTGTCAAGAGTATTTTCTACAGTGTTACTCAAAATAGCAGGAAGGAAGGGGAATGGTTCAATAAATAATGATGTATCTACACCATGGAATTTTAGGCAATCGTTTAAAAAATGAATTGGATTTATGCCATAAGTGTCTCCTCTACCATCCCTTCTGTATGGATTTTACTATTTTTATTCCTTTACTAACATTTTAGTGAGGTTTCAAGAGAGTAAAGAAATAAACGTACCTGGATCTTTTCTACACAATTGAAGTTTGGCTTAGTAGATTCAAGACCTTTTCTAACATTGTTTCTTTTCTTCCTAGAGCTCTGAGGTTGTCTTCAGCTGTCCTCCCCACTTCTCACCCTTCTGTATTTTGAAAGAGGAAATCCCCAGCATCCAAAAAATTAAGTTCTTTCTTCTTTCTTGACTTTTATCCCTGCTGGCCTTTTCCAGCAGCAGCAGCATCTCAGCTCAGCCTCAGACACTGTCTCTGAGGGTACACTCAGGGCCAGCGAAAGGTCAATTCAGACATTGCTCCTGTGACGTTTGGATTTTCTGGGAGATAAGAAACTCATGGAAAAGAAATAGCATTTCTGTATTACCCCAGCTGCTACTTCCCTTTCTTTTTCTTCTAAACAGATTTGAAAAGGGACGCATCTACACATTCATCGGAGAAGTGGTCGTTTCTGTGAATCCATATAGGTTACTGAACATCTACGGGAGAGAGACAATTGAGCAGTATAAGGGACGTGAGCTGTATGAGAGACCGCCTCATCTTTTTGCTGTCGCCGATGCTGCCTACAAGGCCATGAAGAGGCGGTCAAAAGACACTTGCATTGTGATATCAGGTATTTAGAGGAACCGGGGGTGCAGGGGGGGGTCCCCTGTACTTTCAAGATCAGAATGTTTTTTACTTCCTAGGTACTCAAGGATCCAAATGTTTGATTAGATCATTTTTTGAAGTTAGAAACTTAAACAATTTTTAGAAAAATAAAATATGATGAGCATTAAATACTAAATTATTTCTGTCGTTCCTGACCACCCTCTAGTTTTGGTTCATTTACAAATGCATGTTCCATTTGGGTGGACTTCTAGTCACTTTTGTAGACTGAGCTGACATAGAAATGCCTTCCTTCCATCTCAAACACTTGAAGTACAGGTTAAATTGTAACAAAAATTATTTTAAATAATGACAGAATGAAACCAAGAAATGAAATCCTGAGGTACCAAAAATGAAGAATGAACTCAAAGTCAGATTGGTGAAGGGAGCTAGTGTTGAGGGACGTACTGGCACACGGGCTGGAAATAGATTCATAGAGCTGGGGGGTGCCCAACGAGGAGGGAAATGGACCCCGTTTGCCCAAGTGGAGCTGAACACTATGTAGAGCTGAGCTTTTCAAGGAAAATGGGGACAGGAAAAGTATCTGCCCACTGACCCTGAATGGCCTCCCCCAAACTGTGGAAAATTCTTCTGGTGCTAATAAAACCTCACATTTTGCATTAGTGACTTCATACTTTTAAAAACACTTTTATGATCTTTATTCCATTTTGGTTATCAAAACAACTCAGTGGTAAGCAAAGCAGTTGTATTTCTACTTTATAGATGAGAATATTAAGGGTCAGAAACATTAAGTCACTTAGTGTTAAGAGCTAGAGAATTATAGCCTAGGACTACATTTTGTGAAAGCAAATTATGTTAAGCAATATTGCCTGATTGTAAAAGGAAAAAAACCCAAAAATTAGATAAGTGTATGAAGTAAAAACAAAAAGTCTCTTCCCTTTGAGTTCTTCGTTCCCCCCAAAATTCCAGCAGTGACAGCTGTGAATAAGAGTGCTTATCATTTTATACGTTCTCTCTGCGTGTACAAATCATATATAATTACACATGCATATAAATATATTATGTGTGTATATAATTATATGAGTATTGATGGGTGTAATTATGTACACATGCATATTATGTAATTATAAATGCATAATTATAGAATTATGTTATAGCTGCTATTGTGTTTTTCATTTAGCAATATATAATGGACATCTTTTCATTAGAGTACTCTAGAAGTAGTGCATTCTCTAACTGTTGTGTAGTATTCTATTGAATCATAATTGATTTACCCAACCCTCTGATGGACATGTTATTTTCAGATTTTAGCTATGAAACATAATCTGCAGAAAGACTATTAAAACCTTTGATGCCTATTATTATTTTAGTATTTTATTATTTCCATAGTATAAATTTCTACAGATAGAGTTTTTGGGTACGAAGGCATAAACATTTAAAAATTGGGGTAGATAACTCTAAATTGACCTCTTTTTCCTCCTTTTACCAGTTGTCATGCTTTTTCAGTGACACCATGTGTTTGAAGCTTGCTGTGTGACTTTTTTTCTTTTTACCAAAATTGCTCTAATTTTCATTTGCTTTAAGAATTATTTTGTCCCCATTAAGAGTAAGAGAAATACTGCTATAGGAAATAAGGTTATATTAATTTAGCTGTGGCTGCTGTTTGAATCACCAACTTGCTTTTTCTCTATTAGACTTAAGTGTCACTGTGAAGTACTAAGACTTTAAGGAGTTAGTTTATCACATTTTATCTCTTGATTTTTTTGCTAAGTAAATCTTGATTTGTAATCTATTTGTTATTTTACTTCTACAATCATTTAATTTTTTTCAACACGTTCAGAAGCAATACCATATCAAGATAGAATGAAATAACTAAAAAAAAAAAGCAAACATTGAAACATAGGGATTTTATATAAATGACTAACATTGTAAGTTTAAATTATTCCATTGAAAAGTAGCTTACTCTTGGTTTAGGTTCTAATGTTAAGCTTTGCACAATTTCCCCCAGGTGAAAGCGGAGCTGGTAAAACCGAAGCCAGTAAGTACATCATGCAGTACATTGCGGCCATCACCAACCCCAGCCAGAGAGCCGAGATCGAAAGGTAATGGGGGACATTCTCATTAGAGCTTTACTTTCTGTACAGAATTGACTAGACCTAAACTCTGGTATGTGTCAACCATTTATTGATGATAAATGACGACCTTGATTCTCTTACTGCATGCTGTCTCTTTTATTTATATCACTCTATTTCTATATCCGTTTCTAATAGGAAGAAAGCTAACTACATGGTAAGCTTTACATAAAGATAAAATAAAATAAAGTAATTCTGAAACAGATGAAAGTGTCCCCTTTCTACTTTATAACTGCTTCCTTAAATGTATGTGATTAGCAAAGACGTTATAACTCACACAGGTAGGTTTTATGGTGCGAACACTCACAAGTTGCTTGCTCTTTCTATTTCTGTCTTTTTAAAACTATTGTCCGGAGGAGCCCTTGGTTCCCAAGAGTGAAGGGGGCTCTGGGAGGCAGATCCATGCCCTCATTATTACAGCGAAAGTCCTGATGTTAGACGTGCTAATAAGCATGATTCATTTTCTAACAGGGTTTCAGCCGCACCAGGCTGCCACTCACAGTAAGAAGAGTAAGAAAGCTTGTGTGCACTGCCTGGGGCCCAGCATTTAGCACAGTGTCTGGCATAGAGCATTCACTTAATAAGGAATCAATAGATGAGTTTTTTAAAGAGAAAGAAAAAAATGTGGCTATAAAGCAATATGACTCAACTTTCTTATGTAGTGTGGACTTTTCTTTGAAGAGGAAAAGGGATTTTTCAGAGCTGCTACTTTGAAACTCAGTATTCATTCACTGAAGACTGACACTCCATATGCACTTCTCAGTCTTCATTTTTATGACTAGAAAGAAAGGGTGCTGGCTTGATGTGAGAGAAGAGACTTTAGACTACACTGCCCGATGTGGGCTTTCTTCGCTTCATCCTAATTGGACTGGATGGTCAGGTCAAAAGAGATATTTTTATTATTACTCACAGGTTGCTTGCTCTTTCTCTTTCTATCTTTTTAAAACTATAGTCCTGAGGAGCCCTTGGTTCCCAAGCATGAAGGGGGCTCTGGGAGGCTGATCTGTGCTGCTGTTATTACAGCAAGAGTCCTGATATTAGAACTTACTGACAGTTATTAACTGTGACACATCTCCTACTTCTCATTGACTTTGCAATCTAATAAGACAAAAATATGAGTAATTTTTAAAAATTTCCTTAAGAGGTCAGGAGAATAACTGGCTAAGAACCAAATTGATTTTATTTCTAAACCCAGTTGGTGTAGTTAAGTAAGGCATATGAGCATTAGCCAGTCTTTCACAAGCATATCTTACCATAGTCTTATAGACAGTTTTCTTTGTTTCCTGTAAGCAGGCAGCTTTCTTCCACATTTCAAAAGTATACTTTCATTTAAGAGAAGATAAAGGTGTAGGGCCACTTACAGTAATAGTGGAAGGAACAGTTATCTGCAACATCAAGTTAGTTCCGTGGCCAAAGTTACTTCTGCAGGTATGTGCATATAAGAGGTATTCAGTCAGTGAGATAAAACAAAGAACTAAGAAGTAGGATGAAGTTAAACTATATCCACTGGGAGAGACTGCTTTATAGAAGACTAGCAATCATTAAATAAAGAGTGAATTAACTGATACAAAAGAGAAATTCCATGCACCTTCAAACAAAAATGATGAGCAATTTCTAAACTAATAAAGACCACATTGATGATATATAACTAAGTGCAATCAGTTTCACAGTTCTAGGCTTTATAAGCAAGTACTTTAAAAAATTGAGTAATTATCTGTTTCACCCATTCTTTCTTTTCAGAACGTACTGTTTTTTCTCTATGTAAAAAAAAAAAGTTCATTTAAAAGAAAAACTAAAAATTACAGCATTATACTAAAGGTAAATGCTCCCTGAAATGCCACCCTACCTACCCCACCAGCTTAGGCACCCATGGTAAAGTGTACTGTTCACTCCAGGTTTTTAAGCACTTACTAACACATGTGCATAAGCACACACCCTCACAGGTGTACACATGCACGTGCACACACACGCACACAAAGATCCTGCAATATGTATTATTTTGCAACTTAATTTCTCATTCATTGATATATTCTGGACATTTTTCTACATCAGTACGTACACTTGGAAACAAAAATTTATTTTAATTCATCCCTATTGGTGGGCGTTCGTGTTGTGTATGCGTGTGTGTGTGTGTGTGTGTGTGTGTGTGTGTGTGTGTGTGTAGTATAGCAAACAGTGCTGCACTGAGCATCATTGTATAAATATTTCCATGTCTTTAAATGAAACCAAGTATTTTTAAAGACCCAGCCTTCAAACCTTTTTATAATGACTCTTCATTTGTCTGTGTTCAAGAGTGAAGAATATGTTACTTAAGTCCAACTGTGTCTTGGAAGCTTTTGGAAATGCCAAAACCAACCGTAATGACAACTCAAGCAGGTTTGGAAAATACATGGATATCAACTTTGATTTCAAGGGGGACCCTATTGGTGGACATATCAATAACTACTTATTGGAGAAGGTAAGATGTGTTTAATTTCTCTGGGTAATGTTTACAAGTGCTGAATATTTTTTTAAATCTAATTATAGAATTTCTTTAATTGCTTCAAAGTAGCTTTTAATACTGTTCTCCCTCCCTCAGCTGTGATAAGAGATTCTCCTTTTGTATTCTTTTATTAGCACTAAAATATCAAGTTGAAAAAAGTTATAGACTTTGTAGATAAGATTTAGGTATGTGTAGGAAGGGGTGGCAGTGGTATGAGATTGTGTACCAACTTCTGGGTGAGTTTTAACCAAACACCAACCTAAGGTTAATCCTTTCTACACTTTTTATACATCAGCATCTCCCACATGCCTTGGGGTTTTTTGTTTTGTTTTGTTTTTTAAATGCTTTATAGAAGAACTGTCACATTCATTGCCTGAAATAATACTCTTTTCAAACGACCATGTGTATGCAACTTTTTGCAGTTGCAATATAATTGACATATAACATTGTATAAGTTTAAGATATACAATGTATTGATTTGATACTCCCATGTGTTTTTATTCTAATTAATTTGAAATCTCATTTTTTTCTAGTTTCTATTTGTCTGTGGCATCCTTTATGGCAGTATAAATGTTTGTTAAATTAAAGTCAGACTATCAAGGCAATTAAGTGTTTCTATCAGAGTCAGTTAAAAAAAGACAGGAAATGACAGGTCTTACCAGTATTTTTTCCAAATGTTTCCTGTCTTCACTTTATCTGCAGATTCCCTGTGAAGAAACATACATTTTCATAATAGCAATCTAGCAGGAACAGTCTTTTGGGAAGCACATGAGGCAGGAGTCTCCAAAGACAGATCTTGCTTAACTGATTTTATTACAGGTTATAAGGCATTGCTCTTCGAAATGCCTGCAGACCCTGGGGACAGGAACGTTGAAACTATTTGTCTCTAACTGATCCTTCCTGTTCTCTCCACTTCCAATTTCTTCCTTCCTAAAAAAAAATTCCATCTTTAGGGTCAAGGTTAAAAATATCAAAATAGACTTATTTTGGGGAGGAACTCTGTTTTAAGCAGTAAAAAGAATTATCAAAAAGTTGCATAGAAAAAAAAAACCATAAAGGAGACTTCATTTTAGATGGTTACTATCCATAGGGTCTTTAGGACGTTTAAATGCACTGTTGATACAGGACTCTCTGAGAAAGTGGCTCCTGTTTTGTTTTAAGGATATCTTCTCAGATTAACAATTTTAATTTGTTCTTTTTTCCTTAGTCTCGAGTGATTGTGCAACAGCCAGGAGAAAGAAGCTTTCATTCTTTCTATCAGGTTAGTTATCTGCTGTAATACAGATAATTGATTATTTGCTCAGTTGTACAGAAAATGAATGTATTTATATAGGGTTTCCCCCTGCCCTGTGTCTCCCTTGCCTCCATTGGCCCATGACATGTTATACACATGCACACATACACACACCCACTTCCTCTCTGCTTCTTCAGAGATTTGTTTAGCATGACTGTTAGAAAGAGCTACCAGGTGACTAACCAACCACATGACTGTCTTGGTTGAGCATCACCTGCGTTTCTTTGCAGTGTAGATAACAATTAAATGACTTACTAAAGTTTATAAAATGGGAAATCTTGGATATGTTAAATTAATCTTGTTTTATTTTAAATTGAAGCTGTTGTTCCCTGATTTGTTTGGGAGCTTCAGAGACGGGAACACAAACTCAGTTTATTTTGCTCATGGAGACTATAAAGCGATATGATTACTTAAAAAAAAAAAAAACGGATTTACAATTCAAAAAAATTGTCTTTTTTATCTCAGCAAAGCTGTGATTGCTTTGAAAAAAATTTTTTGAAAAAATTTTGAACACCTCTTTTGGGAGTGCTTTTAGGGACTAAGGCACAATAGTCTTTACAATAGCCCTCCTGTTAACAAATCTTCTTACTCAGAAAACAATTTTCATACATTGTTATTATTTTTAAAGACCAACATAATATAAACCAATGCTAATAAATGAAGTGGGTGGCCAAATTAAACCACATTGTGTTGAATTTTTATAAAATAAAATTATAAAATCAATAAGATTTATTTCCATGTGTAAACTGTCATGTTATCCAGTTGTCCACCTTTCCTGAGATACAGAGTTTGATGAGGAAAAGCTGTTTTTTTCCAGTGTGATTCAGCCTGTGACTGTCTGCTGATAACCTCTTACTTCCCTGGCAGTGTTGACTTTTTCTGAATTCTGAAACACAGCTCCATCCTGTCTGCATAATGAGGCTGCTAAGTAAGTGACCAGCACAGAGCCGAGGCTTCTGTTCTACAAATGACCACAGTAAAAACAAGAACCTTTCATGCCAGTAATGTTATGAAAGAGCTAAGACTTTTAAAGTGATTTTCTTCATGATTGTATAACATTCTCCATGACTGATAACTACTGAAGCTGTTTAACTTCAAGATACAAAAAAAAACAAAACAAAACCTCAAAGCCAGAAACAGGAGGACTTAAGTAAATTAAGCCCAGAAAGTGAATAAAAGCTAGATTGCCATTGTTAGACCATCTGGTATATTTGGATTAGTATATATTTTGCCAATTTATCTTAAATTATTTTTTAGCTACTCCAAGGAGGTTCCGAACAAATGCTACGCTCTCTACATCTGCAGAAATCCCTTTCAGCCTATAACTATATCCATGTAGGAGCTCAGTTAAAGGTGAGTTTTTCCTCTTTGAAATTGCTCAGATAGAGAATCAGACAAAACATCAGAGGGGACATTAAATAATGATCTGGGCCAGCCTCCTGCCTTAGGCAAATGAATGACTTTTTTATTATTAAAATACTCAGGGGCAGAGATTCAATACATTATTGACTCAACACCTTTGCTTGATAACCCATTACTATATATTATCACTATCTGACAGGAAAGGAGTTTCTGTCTTGTGATCTTTGTTTTCTTTTAATTTTTAATTCTAATCTCTTATTTTGACACTAAAAAATATTGATAGGACTAGCAAATCCGCCTCAAAAGATGATACCATATGATTTGACCAAAGGCAGGTTGTTAAGACAAAAGAAAATTTAAAAGCATTTTAGTTGAAATGACTATCAGAGTTCTCCATTCATTATATTTTCAACTGCTGATGTATTCTAGTAGTTTTGCGACCCTTGGAGCATTGTTATTTGGCTTCAGAATTTTACCTTTTTTTCTTCCCTTGCACGTGAGTCCTTGCACCCATATGCAAGGACTCTTTGCTCTTTTTTTCCAATTAGCTTTCTGCTAGTCATTTTTCAGCCAACCCTAATAATAGTTTGTTGATGGTAGGCTGTAAAACAATATTTACGGCATTATCCTAGTTTGTTGGGGGAAGGTACTATATTAAAATGCATAAAATAAGATATAGAGTGAAATAGACCAACATTTTAATTGTTTATTCTGAATTGAGATTACAGATGTGTATTTGTGTTCTGCTTTTTCATTTTTTAAATGTCTTCTATTATTAAAAATTATTGCTTCTGTAGTTGGGGGAAAACAAAAGAATTTATGAAAGGAAAGGATCTAAGATGTGGGCGGTATTCTTTTTATTCTAAAAACTTTATTATTCATCTTAAGCTAATTATATGTGCATTACTAGTTTACCTGCATTTTTATTGCCATGCATAGAAATAAATTGTATTTAGGGTTTTGCAATTAATTTTCCATTGTTTGACATGTTTGACATTTATGTTGTATAAGTTTTTATTTTAACTTTTATAATCATCTGAGAGCAGGATATTTGGCCAAAAATTAATTGAAAACAAACAGAACATTAGAGGGCAGAACTTCAGCCTTCTGAGATAAGCCAGAGGTACTGAAGGTGTATGACATATAAAGGATTGTAAAAGCCGGTGACAGGAAGTACTCCTTTTTATCAAATTGTCTTATTGACCAAATTACTTTTGGCCAGGTCACATAACGCCCCTATAGAAAGCAAGAATTAAATGACCACTTAGCCTTCTAAGCTAAACTTAGCTTAGGTTCCCTTTTTATCAAAGTGTTCATTCCTATTCCTCTCCCCTTTTTCTTCCTTTCTAATAAAAACAAAGAGGTATTACATGATCATAGTCTATACTTAAAATAAAGATTAACCTAAAGGAGACAAAAATAGCCAAAGCTTCCGTTCCAGAAACAGTTATTGATAATAGTTTATGTATATATATTTATAAGTGGATTTATTAATAAGTCCTAATTAAATAAATCTTTTATTATATTATAATATAATTATTAATATCTTTCCATGTTAACAAATGTAAATTAATCAAATTATTTTAATAACTATAAAGTACCACACTGTATGTTTTATAATTTTATTTAACTATCCTAAAATACAGGGGTCATGTACAATTTAGATATTTTGGGTTGCAGGTAAGATAAGACTCAGAAGTCTCCAAAAACAATAAGGAACTTAATTATCTCACATAACAAGAAGCCCTGAAATGGGGCCATTTCAGAGTTGGTTAATTCAAGGCCTTAACAATATTGATAGGGACTCAGATGTTGGTTGGTTGTTTCTCCAACTTATAACTCCACCATTATCACTGGAGCTGGCTTGTCTGTTTAGGCTAATTTTCCTCATGGTTCCAAAATAGTAGCAGCAGTTCTAGGAGTCACAGACCGTGGAAATGTTCCTGGCTCATGTCCCTTCATAAGCTAGGGGGACCTCATGTCTTATTGGTCAGAATGGAATCACATGGCCATGGCTGACCAATCACTTGGTGAGGGGAATAAGATCACTAAGAGTCCTATAGACCAATGAAGATTTTCCTCCGACGGCTGGGGGAGACCCATCCTGAAGGACACATGTAATTGGAGAGGGGCGAGCAAATCAGGACTCTATCAGGAAGAAAGAAATGGGGGTGGGGAGTGACTGGGAGGTAAGCAGCCAACAAATTCCCCATGGTAGGACATTTAGATTTTTTTGTCTCGTTTCTTTGCAATTTCAACACGGTTGCAGCTTATAGTAATCTGATACTTGTTGACTGCCTTTTATGTGCTAAAAACTAAGGAGGTGCTTTATATGAATTCTCCTTCAGTTCTCACAACAGTCCTGAAAGAAATGTGTCATTATGTGCACTTTACCTGTGAGGAAATCGAGACTTAGTGAGGGTTAAGTATCTTCCCCAAGGTCAAAGAATTGGTAGGTGGTTGTGCCCCGGACTCTAGAGGACCCCTTCCTGTACCCTTCCTCAACAGGTGAGAAACTCGCCAAGGAAAGGATTAGACAGGCCCTTCAGAGCTGCCACTTTGGAAAAAGGTCTGAGATAGGCAGCTTCATTGTGAACTTCTGTCACTGCACTGATATTTCCCACCAGAGGGCCTCAGCCCCTCAAGGCACATGATTCTCTTTGAAGCCTGTCTTAGACCAGTTGGCTGCTACAACAAAAATACCATGTGCTAGGTGGCTTAATATACACAACAGATGTTTATTTCCCGCAATTCTGAAGGCTGGGAAGTCCCATGATCAAGGCACCTGCAGATTCTGTGTCTGGTGAGGGCCCACTTCTGGTGTATAGATGGGCCTTCTCACTTTGTCCTCACAGGGCAGAAGGGACAAAGAATCTCCTCCTCCGGGGCCTCTCTTGTAAGAGCACTAACCTCACCATGAGGGCTCCACCCTTATGGCCTGGTCACTCCCCAAAGGCCCCACCTCGTAATACCACACTTTTGGGGTTAGGATTTCAACTGATGAATTTTAGGGGGTGCAGACATTTAATCAGTAGCAAACCCTCTGAACCAGTGAGAGGTTCTGATGTACTGTTTGTGAAAAAGTGGAATTATAGTCCCAAACTATTTATTAATTTGCTGAATGATTGAGGCAGTTCACTTTGCCTTGAGTTTCTTCTTTTCCTCACCTGTGAAATAAAAAGTCTGACTGTTCAAGAGGAGTGTTATTTCTAGCTAGTGCAAGATTGAATTGTGGAACAAAAGGCCACAGGCAACGACAGGCAGGCCTGTGTCTCAGAGGCTCCCATAGTCCATGTTTCCCTTTTTGAGCTCACATCCCATGCTGTTTCCTTCATTCATCACAGGGCAGCCGTCAGCTTCTCTGAGTCAGCTCAGGACTTGCTCCCTCACTGCAGGTTCCAGAAAAGTACGGGGCGCTTATCTTGGGTGACAGCGGCTCTCACACACAAGTAGGCAGTATGTGTGATGAAAGATGTTTCTACCCTGGAAATCATTTATATTTTCTCTGGATGCTCGGTGACTTACTACACAAGCATCAAGACCCTGATTAAACTTCAGTTTAGACTCCTAATTATTGGATTTTAGTGCTCATACGAAATGTCTGCAACTTAACATTTCCATTTTCATTCCTAGTCTTCTATCAATGATGCTGCAGAATTCAAAGTTGTAGCTGACGCCATGAAAGTAATTGGCTTCAAACCTGAGGAGATTCAGACAGTGTATAAAATTTTGGCTGCTATTCTTCACTTGGTAAGTATAGGGATGCCTCTTAGCATCTGCTGCCTCCCTGTGGAGACAGGATGCTCTTTCAGATTTTGAATTTTTTCCTTGTAGATTTAAAAAATAACCCATGTAGAAAAAAATTCTCTCATGTTTTGAAGAAATTACTGTATCAGTAGTTATCTCCATCATAGTATCATATTAGGAGGGGTTTTGCAAGCCGTGATAGATTTGAGACTGTGGCTTTACTTAATTATCTTACCAGTATGCCAGACTTTGAACTGATTTATTTCAAGAAAACGAGTATTCAGCATTCAGCAAGGATATGACTACCAACAGTATAAACTATCTTCTGAACAGAATAAATTGCTAACAGCATTTGAAACATTGGAGTCATAGGTTATTAGACCTGGAATTTTGATCATCTCATTTTACAGCCTGGAAAGTGAGCCCTACAGGGGTGGCATGACCGGCTCAAAGGCACAGAGTTCATGGCGAGCAGCTCCATGGACCGGGCTGGCCGGATGATGGGCCAGCTGTTTCCCACCCACACCCAGCCCAGAGGACGGGAAGGACCGTGTGTCTGACTTCTTTCCTGACTATGTATATAATTGGAGGTGTTAAAAATATAATGGACATGTAACATTACAACAAATGAATGACAACACAAATTCAAATATGGACTAAAGATTACCTTTCACTTCACTGCAAAAAGGTTTAACTCTGAATGAATCAGGACCTTTGTAAAAATAGTATATAGTAATATGTGTGACATCTAACATAAATGTTCCTGACTAGGAAGACTTTAATATTATAAATTGTCTCATTCTTGAAACTAGTTTATAAATATAGTATAACACTATCCTTCAGAATCCAAATAGAATTTTTGTTTTTAATTGACTTAATGATTCTCAAATTTACTGGAACAACAAACATGTAGGAATAGCAAATAAAATGTGTTAAAGAAGAATAGTAGGGTTGGGGAAAGGAAGGAGAGGGGACATAACTAACTTTTACCAGATTTTAAATACTAATATTGATAGGAGCTACACAATACCTTAAAACTTGTTGCAAAATTCAGCATCAGATTAATCACCAAATTAGCTGTTAAGCCATACACTTGGTTGATCATTAGTGTTTATTGAATGGTTAGAATATTAACTAAAATACTTGGGGAATCTAATATATAATAGAGGTAATCTTTCAAATCAGAATGAAAAGCTAAAGTGTTCAATTAATAGTATTGGAGCAACTAACCACCAGGAAAAATAAGGTTAGATTCTTAACTTTACACCACATACAAACAAATTCTAGGTGGATTAAAAGCTTACATGTAAGAAAAAATGGTACAACTATTAGAAGAAAATATTAAATATTTATAAAACCATTGGAGTACAGTTGGTCTAAGTATGACACCAAAGAAAGATTCATAAGCAAAAGATTCATAGGTCTGATTCATAAAAATAAAATACATGTACCCATCAAAAACATTTACTAAAAATTAAAAGAGATGGGTGTCTGAAGAAGAAAAAATGGATGAAGCACTGGATTTTTATATGCAATATATTTAGGAAGAAAAGGTGCTACACACTGAGTCACTGAATTTTGTCTGAAGTTAGCAAATGTACCCCTGACATAATGTTACAGAATCTCATTGGCAATGGTGTGTCCTGTTTCTTCCCTTTGGTGTAGGGGAATTTAAAATTTGTAGTGGATGGTGACACGCCTCTTATTGAAAATGGCAAGGTTGTATCCATCATAGCAGAGTTGCTGTCCACCAAGACGGACATGGTGGAGAAAGCCCTTCTCTACCGGACTGTGGCGACGGGGCGCGACATCATTGACAAGCAGCACACGGAGCAGGAAGCCAGCTACGGCAGGGACGCCTTCGCTAAGGTGGGTTTTAGCTCACACTCCCTGGGTCTGCTGTTGATCTCAGCTGCCATTTCAGTGAATTTCTGTAGGGATGTGTCCACACGTTCCTTGAAAGTAGGTTAAGGCTTTTAGAAACTGTAATGATTGTTTTTGGCCATCACAGTCTAAATAAAAACCCTCACTGTGAGCATCACTGCTAGAAAATGTTCTGTGAAAAGCAAAGCTGAATGATGCTTGCTTCGTGGGGACCCTCGCTTACATGGGCCCCTCTTGTGGCCCTCTGTTTTGCTTCTCTCACTCAGTTATGCTTCATGGAAGTCCCCTTCAGGTCCCCTGATGGAGTTCTGGTCCATTCTGTTTGTCTGTGTACCAGTGTGTTGTGGTGGTTCCATAATGTATTAACCATCCTCCTTGTAAGTCATTCACCTTGTTTCCTTTGTTGCCACTGCAACAATGCTGCACGTTGGCCCAGTACATCTCTCTACACACAGGTGCTCTTATTTCAGTTGGAGGGACTCCCAGAAATGAGCTTGCCTGGTCAAAGGACACATTGATTTCAAACTTTACCTTTACTGGTTTTATGGGTACATAGTAATACCTCATTCTCACCTAATTTTCATTACTAGTGTATTAGAGCACCTTGTCATATAAGGTATTTAAGTATGTTCTGAGAATTGCCTGAGTATGTTCTCTGTACCTTTGGGGCTGTTATCTTTTTATTGTCAATTTGTGTAAAAGCTAATAACTTTAACCCTTTGTCTACTTTCTGTGTGGCAAATGTTCCATTTTTTCAAGTTTAAGATTTTTCTTTTCTTTTTTGCTGGTTAATGAGGTTGCTTTCTACCCTGTTTTTTATTCTTGTAAGTCCCAGGCTTGGTTTTTAGTCTTGGGAAGAAATTGAATTAATCTAAGTGCAATGGAGAGTGGAGGATTTGAAGGTGGGACAATGACATGGTTTGAATTTTTAAAATCATTACTCTGTCTCGGTATGGAGAGTCTCATGGGGGGGAAGAGGAGGTGGGTAGGGCAAAAATGGAAGCAAAGAGACCAGTTAGGGAGATATTTCAGAAATCCAGGAGAGAGACCATGGCAGCTTGGACTGGGAAGGTAGCAGAGACAATGGGGAGAAGAGCATGGGTTGAAATAACTGTGTTTGGAAGATAAAATCCACAGGATCTGTTTGGGAAATGATGGAATCAAGGAAATTCCTTAACATGGTCTGGCTCCAACCTACCTCCTCTGCCTCATTTCCTACCAGATTCCAGCCCCCTTTTTTTCACTCCAGCACGTTAGTCTTCTCTAAGGCCTTGTAAGTTGTCTTAATCCCTTTCTCCTTCCAGCCACAGGGCCTCTGCACGTGCCTTTTCCTCTGGTTGGATTGTCCTTCACTCCCCTCTTGCTTGGGTATCTCTTACTCATCCTGATCTCAGCCCACTTTCTCAGAAAAGCTACCCCTGGCCTCTCCGAACACTGAGCAAGTTAAGTTCTCCTCAGCTCCCATGCACCAGTAACAGAGAGAGAGGGAGAGAGAAAGAGAGGGAATATACCTGTGTACATGTGTGATTTCTCCTTCACCTTACTCCCTAAGACCCTTGGAGACAGACCATGTTTATGACTGCCTAGCACTGTATCGCCAGCAAACTGCACATGGCAAGTACTCGGCAAATATTTGTTGAATGAAGGAATAAATTCCTAAGTTCCTCTTGCCATTATTCATGGTTAAAAGTGGAGTAGGAATAGTTTCTCGGGGTGGGAAGACAAGAGTCCTGACAGGACCTAAGTTTGAGAAGACTGGGAAACATCTGAGAGTGTCATCAGGGAGAGAGCCAAGCCTAGGAACCTGGAGCAGGGAGGAGGGGTCTGCCCTAGGATAATACACTGGGGAGGAATTACGTATGACGTTACTACTGTTTAATATTGGGTGGTGCAGCTGAGAGAGGCATTGGTGAAGAGAGAGGCCTAGGAGAATTCCAGCTTCTGGAGGTCATGTAGGGAGGGCCTATCAAAGGTCACCTAGAAGGAGAATCCAGTGAAATAAACAGAAAATTAGGAAAGTGTGGTATCCTGAATCCCACAGAGGAGAAGGTTTCAGGAAGTGAGTGGGACACTCGGTTGAGATGTCCTTGTAGCAGGACAAGAAAGCATCTCTAGAGAGATGCTTGGGGTCCTCGATGAGCCATTTCAGTGGAGCAGTGAAAGCTAAGTGAAGATTGGAGTGGATTGAAGAGTAAGGGGAGTTGAAGAATGAAGGCAATATTTATAGATACGCGTCAGTAAAGAGAGCGAGTGGCTGGAGGGAGATGTTAAGGCAAGGTTTTCTAAAGACATGATATTGTAGAGCATGTTTGTACCAGGATGTAAATGTGTGTTCGTGTGTGGTGCTTTTGTCTACATGTGACTTGGCATGTGTATCCTTGTGTATTGGATGCATATTTGATCCTCAAGGAATTTCATACTGGCCTTTGGCTCAGATCTTTATTTAGCATTATAAATCGGTATTTATATTTTTAAAATTTATAGAGCTTTAGTGGAACACAGTTATTAACTCATTGGTTTCCCAGTTTTGTATAGCTGATGAGATTAACAACAAAGCAACGAAGTTACTTATACATGGGAGTAAGCCAGTTATTGAAATAACTGGGCACAGAAACATACCTGGGGAATGTTGTTGGAGTGCAGTACATGTAGCAACTGATTATAATCTTAAAAATCCAAACTATTTAGTTTTGCATCCACTGTGTTGATTTTTTTTTTTATCAGACAATCTGTATTTGTATTGTTCTGCTTCAGGTAATAACCGCTATGCTAACCGGTAAGAAGGGCGATAGGAATTTAAGACTTCTCACATACCTAAACATAGACTCATTCCCAAACGGGCAAGAATTTACAATGTTGTTTTCCTCATAGGCAATATATGAGCGCCTCTTTTGTTGGATTGTGACTCGCATCAATGATATTATTGAGGTCAAGAACTATGATACCACAGTTCATGGGAAAAACACTGTCATTGGCGTCTTGGATATCTACGGCTTTGAAATCTTTGACAACAACAGGTAAACTGGATTCGATACTTAAAACACTTGTTTACTTTTTATTTGTTTGAACTTAATGTATTCCTTTTCTTGCAGCTTTGAGCAATTCTGCATCAATTACTGCAATGAGAAACTGCAGCAGCTATTTATCCAGCTGGTTCTGAAGCAAGAGCAGGAGGAGTACCAGCGGGAAGGGATCCCCTGGAAGCACGTGAGTGGGCCTCTGTGGAAATGTCTGCATACTTTTCACAGATTACTGGTAGTGTCAAATCTTATCCTTTTTAAAGATATTTTTAAAAAACCTTCTGGGGCTCTAGTTGGTGCAGCTCAGTGGTTTAAACACTGGCCTGCAAACCAAAGAGTCATTAGTTCAATTCCCAGTCAGGGCACATGCCTGGGTTGCAGACCAGGTCGCTAGTTGGGGGCGTATAAGAGGCAACCACACATTGATGTTTCTCTCCCTCTCTTTCTCCCTCCTTTTTTCTAAAATAAATAAATTTTAAAAAAATCTTTGGGGTACATGAAACACCAAAATTTTAGCTTTTCTTTTTGGGATGTGTAAATGCAATTCATTTTCAGGGTTGGTAGGTGGGATATCTCTAATTTAAGACTCCCGTGGCTCTGGCCAGTGTGGCTCAGTTGGTCGGAGCATCATCCAATAGATGGAAATGTTACAGGTTTGGTTCCTGGTCAGGGCAGATAACCAGGTTGTGAGTTCAGTCCCTGGTTGGGGTACATATGAGAGGGTGACCAGTTGGTGTTTCTCTCTCACATCAATATATTTCTCTCTCTCTCCCCCAAATTAGAATCACTATTCTGGGCAAGTATTTCCTTAAAAAACTTTAGAATTCTGAACATAGTAATTAATTCTTTTTTTAAAGGAAATTTCAAATACATAAGAGCAGAGATCATAATGTAATAAACTCAATGTACGCGTCACCCAGCTTTAACAGGTATCAGTGGGTTGCCAGTCTTGTGTCATCTGTACCCACCCACCAACCCCTAGATTGTTTTGAGCCAAATCTCAGACTGTGATGTGACAGTAATGTGATGTATTTCATCTCTAAATATTTCAGTGTGTTTCTCTAAAAGTTAAACACTTTTACAAAAACCATAGCCACAATACCATTAACGCACCTAAAGTTACCATTAGTTCCTTAATATAAAATATCCAGTTAGTGTTCACATTTTACATTTTCTTAATTGTCATAGAGGGTTTTTTTGTTTTGTTTTGTTTTGTTTTGTTTTGTTTTTACAGACTGTTTGAGTTTGGATCCAAATGAGGTCCCTGTGTTATTATTAGTTCATTGGTCTCTCACATATCTATAGATTCATTCTCTCTCTCCCTTTTCCTTCCCACCCCTTCCTTATAATCTTTTGTTGAAAAGAATGGGTCATTTCTTCTGTAATGTTTCCCATAGTCTGGATTTTGCTAATCATATTCCTGAGGTGTCATCAAATATGTTTCTCTAGTTTGTTTGTTTGTCCTTGGTTATCAGATCCAGAATCTCGACTGGTTTCAAAACCAGTGTTTTTCTACCAGTGGTATGTGAACTTTGATCAGGAGGCTCATATGTCTGCTTGTCTAATTGATTCTGTTTTAAAAACTTTAAAACTTGGTGCTGTAGTTTTCAGGTCATTTTTAGCTGTTGAGGACCTGTCCAGACCCCACCCCATCACATCTCAGCTTGCCCCCTGAATCCCCTAAGAAACCCCCTAGAGGTGCCTGGTTGCTGGAAGAAACTGGTTTGGGAACCACTGCTTTAAGCAGCATAAAACTTACAGACTAAGATGAATCACTTTTGGTTTATAGAACTAGGATTTTAGGTTACTGACTTCCTATGTCCCTGGGACAAAAGACTTAGTCTCTAGTCCCATAATCCCAGAGTCTAAAATTTCAACTATTAATGAATATAGAGTTCTTGTTCTTTTGAGTATTCTAAGTATATTTTTTCCAAAGATGGAAACAACTTTTCTCCCTAATTAGAAATGTAATAAACGCCATAGTGAAGATAAATGTTTAGACCAGGACTTCTCCATCTCCGTACTGCTCTCATTTTGGACCAGACATATCTTTGTTGTGAACCTGTCCTGTGCTTTGCAGGATGTTTGGCAGCATCCCCAGCCTCTTCCCACTGGTTGCCAGTAAAATTCTTTCTGTCATGACCACTAAAAATGTTAGCAGACATTGCCAGAGGTCCCCTGGGAGGCTAAGTCACCTTCTGTCAAGAACCACTGATTTAGACAAACCAGGAAAGTATAAAAAAGAAAGTAAAAGCCACCAAGCTTGAGATTTTCAGTCCATAGAATACAGAAGAGAACTTGGAAGACTAGGAGTGGAACTGAAAACCATAGACAAATAACTGGCACAAATCCTTGATTTTAAATAGCATGGAGCAGGAATACGTGAGATACTTTAATAGTCCAATATGAGTTTATAGATCTTATAGAAGGTAACAGAGACAACTCTCAGTTTGGGGACCCCCTGAATGAGATGGGACCCATCAACACATGAGGTGAAAAGGTACAATAATAAGCTTCCCATCTTCCAATGAAGTTGAGCTTTCCTGAGTCAGGCTCATGTGTGCTCTGTGTCAGGTGATATCCTGCAAGACATCAGAATAAGCAGGTGTCCCAGAGCATTTTTGTATAAACTTTGCGCATATTGAAGTTTCCAAAAAGCCAAAGGTTATTCATAACTTTATTCAGCTCATGGAAGTAAATGAAAAACTTATTCGTTATTCTTAGCTTTTATCAATACTTACATCTCAGAATTAAATTTTTTATGGTATACCCTGAAAAAACATCAAAACTCTGTTAAACCCTTATACGCTTTTTAACTTTGGGAAACCAGAGAAGATTTGGATTTTAGCCCAGGCCCATATAACTGAAAATGCAAGTTCTGCATAATACCTTCACTTCATCACATTATATATTAAATACACCTTGAAGGTTATTTGTGGGTATTTAGTGGAATCTGGGTCTTGCGGTTAATGGCAAACAGATCGGGGGATTGAGAGTATGAGGGAAGAGGGTAGGTGCAGGATGAACTCCCGATACATATGGAGGTCCTGTTGTTTTATGCGTCCAGTCTCTGCTCCCTTTGGAATTGCTTCTTTGCTGTGTACTGCAGATCGATTACTTCAACAATCAGATCATCGTGGACCTCGTGGAGCAGCAGCACAAAGGGATCATCGCAATCCTCGATGACGCCTGCATGAACGTCGGCAAGGTCACCGACGAAATGTTCCTCGAAGCCCTTAACAGTAAATTGGGCAAACACGGGCACTTTTCCAGCCGAAAGGTAATGTGTGTAACGAGACCTTCCGCTCATTTTCATCCATGAGATTTTCCTCATTGTTTGACAGATCTCAATGACTGTATATGTTAGGCTACAAGAATGTCCTCTCAACTAAGAAAGAAAGGCTATAAACATCCATTCAGTGATTTATTGCTGTGGATAAATCTGCCTTCTCTGGCTTATAGGATGACAAGATTGAAAAAATTCATAATATCCAGGAGAGGGAGCTGCAGACTACACAATTTATTGGAAGTAGGGAAAAAAAAACGAACGAGATTCTTTAAAAAGGATGATGTCATTTATAACCAATAGGTACAAAGTCCTTGCTCACGTGGTAGAATTTTGCTTCTGCATCTGATCATTCTGACACTGAAAATAGCTTTCGTCCTTGACTTCTTACTGTAGTCCTCAGTTATAAAATGTAGTACATGTGCTTTGCCAGACTATGTGACTTCTTGAAAACAAATTCTAGCTATAATTCTACTTGTTACAAGGACTCATTCTTTAAATACATGAGTATCCTTTTAACTCCCCATTTTTCATATTCTGAAAATGTTATCACCAGATCACATTTCTGAATAGCTGGTGGCAGTTGTAGTTATCAGACCTTTGTGCTGTGCCTGGCATGGAGTATGCTATTAACATTTGCCCTAGGAGGGGTACACCGTGTCCTCAGGTGTTTCTCACAGATATAGGCTTGTATAGCAACCGTAAGCTAAAGGAAAAACAGCCCCCATACTTCTTCACTTCCATGAAAAAGGGGCGAACATGTATGCTCCTCCATAATTCCATGTCAGTCTATGATGCACCGCCATTTTCAGCAAGGATAAATCTATTCTCTAATTTTGTCCCCTTTGAAATTATGTAATCACAATAGGAAGATTCCATAATTAACTAGGTAAAGCACAACCATCAGATATAAATTACTGGCTGATATTTACTTTAGGGCAGCTTATTTCTAAATTGTTCTCCTTGGTTTGTTCCTGAGGATTGACTTGTAGCCCCACTACAAGCCCCAGCTTTGAGATACTACAGGCTGATCATGGACAGTAGGGTCCTGGTTAGAGGTATCCCTTCGGTTATTCTCCGTTTATAATACAGATACTTACTAAGTGTCTTTCATTGTTCAGGTACAATCCTGGGTGCTGGGGGAAAGAGCAGGGAGCCAAGTTATAAGCAGCCTAAATAATCAAGAATGACACTTTTAGAGATGGCATGATGACATGGGCAGATGTCCTGTTTTTGAGAGATAGGTTAAAAATGTCCTTTATAATCACGGTTCAGGTTTTGGAGACTCTCCTAGAATTGTGCCTACCAGATGATCAGTGATCATCAAATTTAAATTGAATTGGTCACGATCATACCAAATAAATCTTACAGAATATTGCATTTTAAATTAAAACATGCAAGGCTCATTTAAATAAATAACTGTGACTCTCACATGAGAAATCACCTCATTTTGATATGTTTCACCTTGGCCATTTATACACCTGAATTAAATTTGTCAACCATGTATTTTGAAATATAATCTTGTTCTCAACATAGCAACTGTACATAGTACATTTAAGCAGCTGCTATTGATTTGATAGGAAATGCTGAACAGTATTAATTAATCTGTAGAGATGGGATTTTCTTTCTTTCTCTCTCTCCCTCTCTCCTTTCTTTCTTTCTTTTCTTTTTTTCTTTTCTTTTCTTTCTTTCTTATGTGGGAGCCCAGGTTTTGCTGACTCTCAAACAAGGTGGCTCCTCTCTCTAGCATCGCCCCCCCCAGACAAGCACTAAGATGGGGGATTTTAAATCCTCTTTCCTGGGATTTTTGCCTAATGAAGGAAAGACATGAAATAACCAAGCTGTCGGGATATTTTCATCACTATGAATCTTTCTGTTAAACGATGCTATTATTCTGTATGTTAAGCCAGGTCTTACCATTTGCTACTGGTTACTGATTAGCTAGAGTTGTTGGCATGTTAAATAAGAGATTTCTGGCTTGTAACATTTATTTAGGCACTAAATTGTTTCTTATGCTTTAAAGTTATGAAGAGGCAGGAAAATTATCTAATAAACTATAAAATCACTATTTAAAGAATTATTAACACATAAAGTTAAATGATAAATGCCTAACTATTATTTTTCAGAAAGTAAAGCCTAACAGCTTCTCTGTTCAGATCAGTTAAAACTTTGCAGTATCCAAATGTAAGAATATTTAATTAGTATAGACATCTCTTGGGTCCTTCTCCTTGGGGGTTTTATAAATAAATAGGTTTTATAAAACTGGTTAATAAGAGAAGAAAAGAGGAATCAAATATTTTGGAGAAACACTGTATGTTGCTGGATCTCCATAGTTTGTTTAACCTTCAAAACAACTCCCTGAGATGTGATTATTAAAGGAGACAGAGCAAGTAGACGACAGAGCCAAGAGCTTCTAAGGAAGGCTGACCTCTAATTTCCTGTCTGACCCTATTCACTTGTTGGGTAAATAGACTAATTATTATTTTAACAATCTAGATACTGGCATAGACCCCACCATCCTGGTTAGAATTATTTGTTATCTAACACCGTAACCTAAGTGGTTTTTGTGCATAAATGCACTCAATGTCTTATGGATTCTTAGACATCTGCCTTAGACCTTACAGGCTGTCAAGTGGTCCCTCCCGGGCAGACGAAGCCTAGGTGCTACTGTAACAAGGAAAATTGCAGGAAGTTATGGAGACCACCAGGGCTATATAAAAGTTGCCTTTCCATAAAATATTCCCCTGCAGTGAGGAAGAGCTTCCAAAGGTTGATCTCTTTGAAATGGTAAGACCTGACCTGGAGTCCCAGCTTAGCAAAAGACAGATGAGCCATGCTCTCGTGTGCACAGGAAGCACAGACATTACGTTCAGGCCCAATAATCCTTCCCAGAGCTACCACTTCCTAGTTACGTAACCTTCTGCCAATTGCCTAACCTCTTTGAGCCTTAGTTTCCATGTGTGAGAAGGAGAGTTCATAATACTTACTCAACCATCAGTTGTGAGGATTGAATGAGACGTCTGTGCCTGCCAGACAGCAACCCCTCAATGTGGCCCTCCTCAGGCGGAACGTGGAGAAAGGGACTGGATCAGTCAGGGTAGGCTGGGATGCTTAAGACAGCAGCCAAGGCGTAAGTGTCATAGACAGTAGAAACCCATTTTTTCTCCCAGGCACCCAGACCTCTTTCATCTTCTGGCTCTCCCATCCCCTAGGCACTGTCCTTCTCTACATCCAGCTAATGGGAGGAAAAAAGAAAGTGCAGAGGAGGATCGCCCCCTTCTTACCAGCTTGGCCCTGGAGCAGCCTCGCCTCACTTCCACTCACCTTTCATTGTCCAGAACTTGGTCATCTGGCCACATTCAACTGCAGGGCTGCTGTGTGGGTTTCTGGCAAAAGCTCACATCTTTACCACACAAGCAAAATATTTAAATCAGGACCCACACGGTGTGATTTCATTCATAATGACATCATGCTTTGTAACATTTTATCATCTCATAGGAAATTAGAATATATTTTTAGGAAAGTAAAAATGGCTATTTTCAAAATAATCTCCTTCTTGATTTCTTAGCTCTGTGCCTCAGACAAAATCCTGGAGTTTGATCGAGATTTTCGAATTCGACATTATGCAGGTGATGTAGTGTGAGTATCCTGCTTTGGTACCTCATGTGATGGTTTGCATGCAGCCTCACTTCAGAAAATGTAACCAGGGGAAAATATAAGTTGTTTTCCTATTCACTTTTACACCTCTTTTAATCTTTCACTTTAAAAATAAGTTGGCATAGCTTCATTCATTCCTTGCTTTTCGAATACTTACTGAGGACACACTATGTGGCCGTGCACTGTTCCTGGCATAGATGGCAGTCAGTCAAAATCAACTGATGGATAAATGCATTATGGAACCAGCGTGAGAACTGGGATGGAACAATAGATGAGAGGGGCCTTTCCCTGAAGAAGCTAACAGCTTAGGGGCGGATATAAGCAGATACATGATAAGTCACTCTAAAGAAGAGTGAATGGAAGGGTTAAACTAGAGATACACAAAACATTATGAAAACACTGAGGAGTAATAATTAACCAAGATGGGGAGTTATAGAGAAGTCTTGCTGGAGGAAGTGATACCCATGCTAAGTCCTAAAAGTAAAAGAGGCTTTATCAGAACAAAGACCTAGGAAGAGAGGAGGGAGAAGAGAGGGCATTCCAGGCAAAAGAGACAGCAGACATAGAGGCCCTGAGATGAGAGTCATCACTGTATGTGAAGAGCTATAAATAGTTGGGTAACTTTATGAGCAAAACCCAGTTTGCCATATTATTTTTCAAATATGAGTTGAAAAGTAAAATTTGCATGAGCCGTGTTTTCTGATCATAATAAAAGTAAAAATTGATAAGAAAACATAACTAAAAATATAACTACAGTAGTGTTTTAGTTTCCTAGAGCTGCTGTAACAAATTACTTCAGTTGATGGCTTAAAACAAGAGAAATTGATTTTTTCACAGTTTGGGAGACCAGAAGTTTTAAATCTCGATATCAGAAGGCCATACTCTGAAGGCTCTAGAGAAGAGCCTTTTCCAGCTTCTGGCAGCCGCAGGCACTCCTTGGCTTGTGGCCCCATCACTCCAATCTCTGCCTCTGTGGTCACATTGTCCCCTCTTCTTGGGTATGTCAGTGTTAAGTTTCCTCTACCTCTGTCCTAAAACTATACCTGTGAAGGCATTTAGGGCCCACCTCGGTAATGCAATACAAGCTTCTCCTCTCATGATCCTTCCTATAATGACACCTTTTACCAGATAAGGCTAACTTTCACAGGTCCTAGGGAATTCGATGTCGATGTTTTTCAGGAGGACATTTTTCACGCTACTGTACTTAGTATGCTTTGACTGTCCACTGAACACTGCTCCTTGTCTTAGTGTTTAAAGAGCCCTCTTGTTCTTTCTTCTTATTTTTTAATTAGGAATTCTGTTCATATTCATAAAACCCATTATAGGAAAAGATGAAACAATAACAAAAAAACAAATGATGATCTCTAAATGCTGAAAAGACATTTGGAGAAATTTTAATAGCTGTTCCTGATTTAAATTAAAACTCTAGAATCATAAAATAATATGGCTCAAAATCATCACCCCATCTGTCAAACTAGCCATTAGTGCTGGTATGGCACCATTTCCCACTTTTTTCTGGTCCTGTTCCCAGGTTCCAGAATATTGAAGAGGGAAGACCCAGCACTGCACAGATATTTCCCACTACAAACCCAGGCCTCACTTATAGGGTACTTTCATCTATCTTGAAATGGCTGAGCTGGACAGAGGCCTTAGAGACCACCTAGGGCAGCCCTTTTGTTTTATAGATGAAGAAACTTATGCAGAGTGTGTAAAATGCATACCCAAGGTCACATAGCGTGTTTATGGAAGAGTTAAGACAATAGCTAGGTTTCCTGACTCCCAGAACTCTAGCTGACCTCTGTGAGTGCATTCAGTGCCTAGGCTTCCCCTCCTTTCCTTAAGCCCTCCAGTCCTTTTCTAAAGATTTTCACTGGACATTTCTGCGTGCACAGTACTTTATAAAGTATGGGCCCTGCCCATAGAGAGCTATCCACATAAGTTACATACATACATATATGGTTGTGCATGTATTTGTTTACATACATAAATTTGTAGATCACCTGTATAAATAATTACATACATTTACATACATACACTAATACAATAAAAAGTGTTCTAAAATAATTGCCATGTGAGTTGTTGTCTGAATTCAAAATAAGGAAATGTTATAATTCTTCTAGCTGTGTGATAACCCAGGAAGGCTGATGCTGCCTTGGGTCCTTGGATACTAGGAATTATTTTTATAGGAGCAAGTGGGAAAAGTGCTAAAAATATTCAGGAAATAGCAACGAGGACCATTTGACCCGAGGGTATCCTTTTGTGTAGCATAGACAGGTGGAAATGTCTGGAGAAATGGGTTGAGATCAAATCATAATGAGTCTTGAAGGCCAAAAATAAGGACTTTTGAAGTTTGAATTTTATGGGTTAGACAACAGATTGAGTCAGGTGACTTAAAGGGTTCAGTCAAAAATGACTTTAAGGTATTAAGACCTAGGGTGGGGGAGGCAAGGACATAATTTTGGGCTGGTGACCTTAAAGTGCCTGTGGGCAGCACAGCCCAAGGGAGCTTTCTTATAGAATTAAGTATGTAAGGATGAAACGTTGGCAAGGGGTCAGGGTTGGAGACCTGAGAATTGTGTACATTGATGTGATTGCCAAGGAAGATGTAAAGACAGGTTAAAAAAACATCTGTAAGGAGCAACCACATCTAGAGTTACTGTTTACTCGACCTCCTCGCCTGTCCTCATCACCCGGAATCCTCCATTCTTCTTATACCCCAACCCTGAGTTTACTCCACCTAGAGGCCATGGCAGTCACTGCAGTGGAGTGGCTCCCACTCATTCCCTCCCTTCTCACCAACTCCTGGATTTCAAGACCTTACTCATCTTCCTCCAAACCATGAGCACTGGCCTCCTTTATTTTCCCTCAAAAAAACCATGCATGTGCCTGCTTCTGCCCCTTCCTTTAATCCGTTTCCCTGTGTGATCTACCTTCCTCTTTCTCCTCCGCTAATCCAGCTCTTACCAATCTCTTGCAGTCCTCCTTGGATTGTTTTATCGCACCCTGAACACACTGAGCGAACCTTAGGCAAGTCACTTGACCTCCTTACGGATGAGACTGTTAGCTCCTGTATGTCGCTGTTTTGCTTTTGTCTTAGGAATGTTGGATGATAAATACATCTGTCTGTATTTTAAGTCATCTTCTTGAGGTAAACAGTAAACCAGTAGAAAATGATTTTGATTGTAATAATGGTATGATGCTTGCTCTCCATTTAAGGAATAGAAACAATAGCCCCTGTGTTTAGTAGGTAAGCTTGATATCCCTTAACACAGAATGTGGAGGACAGAATCAGCCTTACAGATTGACTACATAATTAATAGCAGAAGGGCATGTAGGTTTCTAGAAAAGCTTAAATGTGGCTCTTGCTTGGTGAGTAATGCACATTTTTCTATGTTTTTTCCTCTATTAGCTATTCTGTCGTCGGTTTTATTGACAAAAATAAAGATACTTTATTTCAAGATTTCAAGCGCCTCATGTATAACAGGTAGGATTAAATTTTATTATCTTTATATTAAACGCCAACCCCCAACACAGTATATATGCACATGATTATTTTTATGTGCCGATTTTAAAATTTTCTGGTAAATTTTCTAGTTCTGCTTGATCACACCTAATAAGATTTACTTTATGATTATAAAAATCTATAAACATAGGACAGGGACCTGCTATTAATACAATTTTCCTTGATTTCCCTTGGGTCGCCTCAGTTTCTCTGTTCACTGCCACCATCCTTCTGGCACTCCCTACCAGGGCACTCAGCAGTCCCCGGCTAGGCCCGTAGCAAAGAGAGGGGGCCAGATAACCTCTGGCCCAGCTGAAGCCTTGACACACTCAGGCTCCCACTGTAGTGTCTTTGCTTCCGACTAAGAGAGTCCTTGGACGTCAGAGTGGCATCTCGCATCAGTGATGATAGATCCTGCGTGGACGGAATCTTCTCACAATCCAAGAAAACATGAAAAAGCTGTGGCGAAGTGAAACCAAGCAAAGCATAGCAAGTCAAACCTAGCATGATACTTTGGAGAGAAGGCCCATGAAGAAAAACAGATTCTTAGCCAGCTTCTTCTTTTGGATTAGAGAACTATAGTTACTCATTTATCAAGTCTCCTCAGTCATTGGGTCAGTAGATCATCAAAAATCATTGAGCACCTCTGAGCCACACATTCTTCTGCGCTCTGGGATACAGCTGTGAAAAAAATTCAGACGAAGTCCCTGCCTCTTGGATCTTATATTCTAGTGGAGGTTACAGTCCGTAAACAAGAAAACAACTAACTGCCAGGTAGTGACAAGTACTGTGAGGAAAAATAAAGTAGATAAAAGATTGAAGGGCACAGGGAGGGAAGGGCTAGGATGATCAGAAAACGCATCTTAAAAGAGGGGACATTTAATGTCATGAGCCATGTGCAGTGAGGGGAAGAGCACTTCACGTAGAGATAACTGCTAATACCAACATGCTAAGCTAAGAATGAGTTTGGGAGTATTGAAAGCAGCAAGAAGGTAATTGTGGCTTAAAAAAAAAAAAAAAAGAGGGGCGGGGAGGGTGATAAGGACTGAGTTTAGAGAGGCCAACAGGGCCTGGGTTATAAAGAGTCTGTGAGCCAAGGTAAGAGGAAGTGTGAAGGGAAGCCATTAGAATTAATGATACAATGTGATTTATGTGTTGAAGAAATCACTGGGGCTGCCTTGTAAAGCACATACTAGTAACGGCAAAAGTAGATTGGGGAGACCCATTAGGAGGCTAGTTGCGTCAACCAGGATGAGACTTGGGTAATAGAGACAGGGATGATGAAAAGTGGTCAGAGTCGGGGTATTTGGTAAGTAGGGCCAACATGATTTGCTGATGGGTAGGATGTGTGATGTGAGAGAAACACAGAAATCAAAGACAATGTTTGAGCAATAGGGAAGGGATGCTTGATGTGGGGAAGACAAGAGGAGGGGCTTATTTGGGGAGTAGGGAAATCAAGAGCTTTGTTTTAGATATTTTATGCCAGAAGTGCATATTGGACATCCAGTTGAAAATGCCAAACAGATAATTGCATGTGTGAATCTGGAACTTGGGGTAAGGGTGGGCACTAGAGATATAAATTCAGATAGTATTTAAAGCCATAATACTGGACGAGGTTTAGAGTGAACATAGATTTAAAAATAAGAGAGAAGTGGTCAAAAGAAGAATCCCTGACACACTAACATTTAGAGTCAAGAAGGAAAGAAAAGAGGAAGTAGCAAAGGAAGCTGGGAGTGTGCCAGTAAGGGAGGAAGAAAACCTGGAATCTGGTGTCACAGAGGCCAAACCAAGAAAAAGGTGCTTTAAGAAGAAAAACTTAAAAACTGTGTCAAAAAATCTGTCAAAAGCAGAGTGATGGGAGGACCAAGATCAACCATTGGATTTGCTAACATGAAGGTCAGTGGGACTCTTGACAACACTGGTCTCAGTAGAGTTGAGAAGACTAATGTGTGATTGAAATGGGGTCATGGGAACACAGAAAATTAGAATGTGGAGACATTGTGTTTAAACAATTCTTTCAAGAAGTTTTACCATAAAATGGTTCATCTGTATGAATGCCACCAAGAATGACAGTGGGGCTGTCATCACTAGAAAGTAGTTACAGAGAGTCCTGGCCAGGTGGCACAGGTGGTTAGAGCATTGTCCCATACACCGAAAGGTTGCAGGTTCGATTCCTGGTCAGGCCGCATAACTAGGATGCGGGTTCGATCCTTGGTCGGGGTACATATGATAGGCCACTGATCAGTGTTTCTCTCTCCCTGTCTCCGCCCCCCCGCCCCGCTCCCATTTCTCTCTCTCTAAAATCAATAAACATATCCTCAGGTGAAGATTAAAAGAAAGAAAGAAAGTTACAGAGTCAGTGAATGTGAGTGGGGATCCATGTAAGAACTGGTGGTGGGGAAAAGGAACTTCCAGAAGGGAGTTTCAGAGGGACAAATGAGAGTCTGGCATTGCTCTGTATAGAAAATATCAAAAACTCAAATTGGAAAAATGGCCTTAGTTGGCCAGTGGCAATGTCCGGGTTTGGTGCTAGGGGAAGGAGACAGCCAGGCTGTGGACCAAGAGACTGCCCCAGGTGGCGTTGGTTACCTTCGTGAGTTTGTCATGGCCCACAGGGTCAGGTCACTGAGAACAGCCTCACCCTCCAATGGTGGATTCGTGGGACCCCAAGTTCACAGGACAAATGGAGAAGCAAAGCAGCCTGTGGATTTATTTCCAAAGAGTAACAGTCACATGGAGTGGAATACTTGTGTTGGTATGACAAGCTATTTCTTCCTATTGGAAACCCTACTAGGGAAGTCAAATAGCAGTGAGAATTCTAGTTTATTAATTGACAGTGAAAAATACTACCCATAAAATCCAGAATGCTTAATTGCTTGGTAAGCACGGCCTTAGAACAAAGGAACCTAGATAAATCCAACAATTAAAGGCATCAAGCTATGACTTCATTTCACAGTAGGAATGATCTTGCCAAAGACGTGAAAAGATTTAAAATCTGTTGACTGTAACGTACTGTATATATCACCATAATAGGAAAGGCCTTTCCACTGGGGTAGGAAGTCTTGCAATTGAGCTAAAACCATCCTCCTAGACGGTGTTTGGATGGGCTGCCTTTGCCTCTAGGCCTTTCAGTGTTTCCATGGCCAAATAGCCTCCCAAATTTCTTAAAGGTTTTATTTATTTATTCATTCAATGTTTAGAGAGGGGGGAAGGGCGGGAGAAAGAGGGGGAGAGAAACATCTATCGGTTGCCTCTTACATGCCCCAACTGGGGACCTGGCCCGCAACCCAAGCATGTGCCCTGACTGGGAACCAGACCAGTGACCTTTTGGTTCGCAGTCCCACTCTCAATCCACTGAGCCACATGAGCCAAGGCACCTCCCAAATTTTAATCCTTTCTCTCTTTGGATGTATTTAAAGAGTAATCTTTGGATCTCTAGTTCTGAAGACCTTCAGAGTATACATGCATGTTAATGTGAGTGTGTGTGTGTGTCAATGAAAGGAGGAAGAAAGCAAGCAAGTGGCAGGCCAGGTGCACAGAATTTATTCATCAGCACTGTCTTGCTAGCCAGCTAAGTTCTGCCTTATCTATTAGACACACTGGGTTTCTGGATAACTAAGTTTCCCTTTTTAGGAGAGGGTTCCTTTATTTTATCTATTTTTTGAGCTATCAATAGCAATGCTTTTCTTTTTTTAATTTTATTTTTCAATTACAGTTTACATTCAGTATTATTTTGTATTGTATGTTAGCATAGTGGATCGACAATCATATACTCTACACAGTGACCCCCTGAAATTTGCAGTACCCCCTGGGCACCACACATAGTTATTACAGTATTACTGACTATAGTCCCTGTGCTGTACTTTACAGCCCCGGGACAATTTTTAACTACCAATTCGTACTTGTTAATCCCTTCATCTTTTTCACCCAGCCCTCCAATGCTCCTCCCTTCTGGCAACCATCAGTCTGTTCTCTGTGTCTGTGAGTCTGTTTCTATTTTGTTTGTTCATTTGTTTTGTTCTTTAGATTCTACATATAAGTGAAATCATATGATATTTGTTTTTCTCTGACTTATTTCATTTAGCATAATACCCTCTGGGTCCATCCATGCAAGTGGTAAGATTTCATTCATTTTTATGGCTGAGTAATATTCCATTATATAAATGTACCATATCTTTTTTATCAGCTTATTTATTGATGGGCACTTGAGTTGTTTCCCTATCTTGGCTATTATAAATAATACTTCAGTGGACATAGGGGCGCATGAATTTATTTGAATTAGTGTTTGGAGTTTTTTCAGATTCATACCCAAAAGTGGAATCACTAGGTCATAAAGCAGTTCCAATCAACTTTTTGAGGAAACTCCATACTGTTTTCCATAGTGGCTGCACCTCTCTGCATTCCCGCCAACAGTGCCTGAGGGTTTCCAAAAATAGGTTCCTTTAAATGTTTGAAAACTATTTTGTTAATATTACATTCATGACTTACTGGCATAAAAGTTATTTGTCTTTAAAATGATCGTATGTGCCTCTTTTGATTCATTATGTATCAATTCTACTATTTAATAGTATAGTAATAATAAAATAATAATAAACATCTTATTTCCTTCATTTTCAACACCCTACCCCTTCCATTTACAAGGTATTACAGGAATAGTCTCTAAAAATGGGCAAGTGAGTAAGGTGGTATTTGGGGTAGAAATTATAGAGACCAAAAGCCAATGATTTTTGCATCAGTGTAATTTTCAAAGTGCATGTGCTCTGCTTTCAGGAAATTGTATTCAGTAGGTGTCAGGAAGGTATCCCAGCACTATGTGCACTAAATGTTGAGAACTACTACCTTAAATTCTCTCTCTACTAAAGATTCGAATGGAAAAGGAAAAACAGTATATAGTTATATGATTCTTTTTATTGATATGTATATCATTAGAAAATTACGGAATAAAACTGGGAAGTAAAACAACTGGGTCCGTAAGCCACAGGACTAAAATGACCGCCTTATTTTAGAGCCACGTCCAATGGCGGCTGGCTGTGCTTGCTGGCCGTGGTGAGGGTTACGAGCATGGCTCTGTCTTCGTTCTGAGACCCAGTAAATCTTGACCTCACCATTTATCTCCTTTGCTCTTTTGTCATCGATTCTGGCACTTTGCAGCAATTATTTTGAGCTTCTATATAAGGAAATTTACTAGGTATTTGGGAAACCAATTCAATTTTCTCAGTTTTATACCAGAGGAAAAAAAGTGGACAAAACGATGGCAGTCGTACATACAATTAGCAGAAAATGTCCATGGTAATTCTTTTCTCAGTCCCCAATTTAAAAAAAAAAAAAAAATCTACAAGAGAGACTTCTTGCAAGCCAGCAACATTTCAAGTTGCAATTTCTTTAAAATCAAAAGCTACCAAAATGAAACAGGAAGAAAATCAGAGTTGAGACCTCCACATGTGTTTTTAAAAACATCCCTACAGAGCCAAATAACAAATATGTAATTGTGAGCATGAAAACTGGCCTGAAGCGCACTTCAGGAATTGGACTGCAGCAGCCTCCGTGTCACATCCGTCCATGTTATAGCTGCCCACACGACCTATAAATGTGCTCATAAATTCAACTGCAGTCAAGGGATTACTAGACGACAATGTGGAATGATTATCTCTAACTGTATTTTTAGAAAGACCTGGCTTTTTGTATTGTTACCTATTCTGTATGAGTATTTGTTTCAATCAGAAGATACTTTCATGTACATGTTTTCTACCATAACATTGAGAATCGTTTTCCTACTAGCAGCTTGCCCTCATTCTTATAACTATCACCAAGACCATTTTGTTTTATGTATATGTTGTAAGATCTGTGTTAACTATTCGAGGGTCCCAGGTCATACTGATACAGACGTCACTTTAAAGAAGTTTGTAGAGTTTTTTAAATATAGTATAGTTTGGACACATCTTTCAGTATAATTTTCTGGATGGAATTGTTTTCTCAATCAGGCCTTAGGAGTGTGGTCTGCAGTGCAGTAGTGCCTCCCAGGATACACAGTTTAGCAAGATTGCTTAGCAGTTCTTTTTCAGTCTTTTTGAAATGCTCTTTCTGTGCTTCTCAGTTCAAATCCTGTGCTGAAGAATATGTGGCCCGAAGGCAAACTGAGCATTACAGAGGTGACCAAGCGACCCCTCACCGCCGCCACCTTATTTAAGAATTCTATGATTGCTTTAGTAGACAACCTTGCATCAAAGGTAATTATTTCTTTTCTAAATATTCATGTTAATTCATAGATCCCCTCATAATATGTTATAGAGAATGTATATATGATTTGCTTTTTAGGTAATTATAGTAAATCAAATTAAAGAATATGTATTTAAAGTAAATGTTATGATAGAATTTTTATTCCTTTTTTGTTGTTGTTAACATGGTTGCCTGAAAAAGTTTGGTACTTAAGTATTATCCTTAGGCTGTTGTATTTTTTATTTTTGTTTTTTGTTTTTTCCCTTCCTTAAGCTGTTTTAAATAGTTGAGATCAAAAGATGTGGTATTGACAATTACTTCTGCTTTTTATTTTTCCTTTGAGATCTAGTATTGTTTGATAACTTTAGTCTATCTTTTTTTCTTTTCTTAAAGCACAGATTTTTACTCCTAACTGCTGCTGCTGACAAGTTTGATAAATTAGACAGCATTCTGAGACTCATTATTTTTAGTTCCTTCATTTTTATCTTTCTTTTCTAGTGCTTTTCCTGTGTATTTTCTTCTCTGTCATCTTTTTATTAAAAAAACCAACTTCCTCTCTAAGAGTTTAAATCTATACCATTTCTGGTTACTTCAGTATGGATAAATTAGGCAGATGCCACAAGAACATGCCTGTTCAGTAGCTTTGTTTTTTTTTTTTTCATCAAGATGCTTTGGCCTCAAGTAACAACAAATAAGCACGATGTGTTGGTTTGTACAATCAATCCTCCGGAGAGGGAGGGAAAAGGACACAGGTACCAAAGACTGGATTCATTAGAACCCTTCCTCTTGTCTCTCAGCTTCTGTCTGCACATCAGCTTCCCCTGCCTCATCCAGCTGGGAGGAGAGTGAGCCTCATGGGAGGCATGTGGCGCAAGAAATAGAGTGGGACACAAAATGTTATAACATAGATATGTGTAAAGTGTTATTTGTAAATATAGTGTTTATAAAATGTTATTTATAAATATATTGTTTATAAAATAGATTTATTAACTAGAAAAGAATCACTTTTCTAAAATGTACTTTAAAAAAGTATACTTTATTTATTTTTAGAGAGAGGGGAAGAGAGGGAGAAAGAGAGGGAGAGAAATATCAGTGTGTGGTTATCTCTCATGCACTCTGTATTAGGAACCTGTCCTGCAACCCAGGCATGTGTACTGAGGCGGGGGGAGGGGAATCGAACCTGTGACCCTTTAGTTCGCAGGCCGGTGCTCACTCCACTGAGCCACACCAGCCAGGGCTAAAATGTGCATTTTTAAAAAATACTAGAACCATCTATAGTTTCTGTATCAGGAACTGGATTCGCTGCTAATAAAAGAGATCTCCAAGTTAGTAGCTTAAACTTGAGAGACACTTATTTCTCTGTCCTGTAAATGAAGCACAGAAGAAAGTATTGCAGGATTGGTGTAGCAGCTCTAAGGGGATCAGGGACCCAAGTTCCGTCTTTCTGCTTTACTGTCCTCGTGCTTGTCACGCATCCTCCCAGTCCAAGGTGGCACCTGGAGCTTCTTGCCTTCTAAAGAGATTTCCTGGAAGCCTCCCACACCACTTCACCTCCATCTCATGTGCTGTACCTAGTTGCCCGGAAAGCTGGGAAATGTATTTTTATTCTAGTCCGCTGTACACACAGCTAGAAACAAGTATTCTGTTTCAAAGTAGGAAAAAGATACTGGATATGAGGTAAGCAGCTAGCCTAACACTCTTTGCTACAGTTTCCCAATCTGTAAGTTTATGGAGATGAGGGAAAGAAATCGAGAGCAGGGAGAAGCAAAAGAATATAGAAAATAGATGGCAGGAAGATGGGTGGGGCAGAAACAAAGGAAAAATGTTGATTACATTTAGAAAATGCAAAATAAGGTGAGAGAAATAAATCTAAATAATTGTTACTCATTGTAGCTATAAATAGACTAAACAAACTAGATAGGTGGAAAATCTACCTATAGGAGACACCTAATTAATATTAGGCAGAAAGATTTAAATAAAGACATAGATAAAGATGTATAAGACCCTGACTCCCCCCCCCAAAAAAAAAACTGGCTAAAAGCAGTATTAATGTGAGAGAACATAGAATTTAAGAAAAAAAAGTGTTAACACAGATAAAGAGTCTAATAATAAAGTGAAAATACCCAGGACAGTAAAGCTGTTTTGAACTAGGTACCTAATAACATAACCATGATTAACACATGATTATATGTGAACTCTATAAAGAAAAAGAAGTTGAAAAATTTTAAAGGAAAACTTGACAAGTACACAATCCTAGCAGGAGATTTTAAACTAAAGCTACCAGAAACCAATGGATCAAGCAGACAAAAACCTTCCTAAGAATACAGAAGCTTTGAAAAACAGATGTCAGCTTTTATCTGATAGATCAAAAGAACACTGTACCCAGGGCATAGGGAATATATATTACTTTCATGTATACATGGAACATTTACAAGATTGACCACATGCTAGATCACAAAGGAAGTTTTAACCATTTTAAGAAATGTATATACAGATATACTCCCCAACCTCATAACAAGTAAAATAAAAATCAACATTAAAAATTTTTTAATGTGTTAAGGAACTTTAAAAATGCTCTCTTAAATAACTTAGGTTGAAGAGAAAATCACAGTGGAAATTACAAAATATTTGGAACTGCATGACAAAGAATTTGTCAAAATTTATAGGAAACTACTAAAGTAGTCCACTTGTTATGCCTGTATAAAAAACCAGGAAGGCTGCAGGTAAATGAGTTCTCAAGAAGCCAGAAAAGGAACTCCAAGGAAAATCTAAAGTAAGAAAATAATTTTAATAGCAAAAATTTAAAGTAATAGAAAGATCAAAAATTTTATCAAATAGACAAACCTTGAATAAAGCTGATTTTAAAAAGAGAAAACAGTATTATGAATAAAAAGCATACAACTTCATATATTACCGAGATTTTATAAAGCATCAGAATATTATGAACAATTGTATGCCACTACCTGACTCATTTTATGAGATTGATATTGCCTTAGTACAGGTTAATATGAGAAAATAAAATTAGAGATCAGTTTTACCTACGTACATAGACATAAAGACCTTAAAACTACATGTGAATATTGCATTTTCTGGCAACATGGTGAACAAAGTGGCCACTAAAACCAACTGAAAACAACAAATATATTAGGTCAGTTATAAAAACCAACTTCTTGAGTGCAGCCATGAACTACCAAGAAAACAAGGAATATGCAGGCCCGGGGCTGTGAAGGCAGGAGTTAACTAAGTGAAAGGAAAAATAATCAGAGCACTGTAGCTGCCTTTCACTCTGTGGGGATTTGTTGAAGTAGATAACGTTGAGTATAGTAATTCTTTGAATATAGTAATTCAAAGCGAGGTCCTGGAAGTAAAGCCCAGGGCCTGGCCAAACCAGGGTGTCTATTAAGAGATTACACACACATGCTCACACACATGCCAACAGTGGTGGGTCTCTAGGGGGCTGCCTTCTCAAAGAGTTACATCTACAGTGAATCAGAAGTAATCTCTCATTCTCTTAAAGGAAAACGGCCTCTCTTGGCCCGTGGCAGTGAACTAAGAGAGGGGTGCATGAACATCCCTAGAAATTTTATAGTTATAAGCTACCTGGGGAACCTGGAAAAGTTCAAGCCAACAATCTAGTTTAAAGTGGTCCGGGTCTGGTGTTGCCCCCAGGCATCTGATAGAAACTGAGGTCATACCAAACCTTAAAGAATTTCCAAAGATAAAGTTCTAAGGAAAATAAGATGTTCCCAGTAAAGAATCACTACATACATGAAACAAGATAACATATGTGAGAATCGGACTAAACAACAGATTTAGACTCATGAAAACTGCTTATACCGGATTATCAGAAACAGAATGTAAGAATGCTTAATATGTTTCAAGAAATGAAAGGTCTAAAAGTGTAAGAAAGAGCAAGTAACTAGGCAGTTGATAGAGATAAAAGCTAAATGAAATTAAACGCTCAATGGATAGGTTTAATATCATACTGTGTTGGCCAAAAAATCTGTTACTTTTTTCCAAAATAAAAGACAAATTTTTCATTGTCACCAATAACTGTATTGATTTGATATTTTGAGTATGTCATCTATCTCCCACTGTTGGCTTCTAGTGGGTAGAGGCCAGGGGTGCTGCTAAACATCTTCCAATGCATAACACAGCCCCACAGCAAAGGATTTTTTGGTCACAATGTCAATAGTACCAAGAAACTTCACAGATAATTTTTGACACGTTCAATGAGTCACAGTACCTTCTCCATACACTGCACAAATCTTTTTGTATTTCAGTTGTGTTTTTGCCTTTCTTGAAATAATAAAGCATAATGTACAGAAAATGTTGTGTATTTTCTTCCCTCTTCAATATTAAAATGGCTGCACAAAAATTCATCAGTTTTGATAGTTTTTTTAAAAATGCATGCGGGTATGGCAGCTGTCACCATACAGTCTAAAAAATTGTTTCTAATGAAGTTAAAGACAACTAAGTGATACTAGAGCCATCATACAGAAAAAACTAAATGGACTTTTTGGCTGACGCAGTAGTAGACAAAGCTGAAGAGAGAGGTGAAAGTAAAGAAAGAATTGAAGAAAATAGCCAGAGAGACCAACAAATTAAACACAGAGAGACATGGAAGGTACAATGAAAAGATCTAATGTGCTTCTAATCAGGGTTATACAAGGAGAGGAGAAAATGGACAGAGCAGTATTTGAAGAAATATTGCTGAGAATTTCAACAATGATGAAAGACACCACCCTGCAGAGTCAGGAAGTACACTGTATCCCAAGCCAGAAGAATTAAAGGAATCTGCCCCTAGGCACCTCGTGAAACCCCAAAACATCAAAGACAAAGAAAATACCTTAAAAGCAGATTAGCCTCAAAGCAATAATAGACTGAGAGAAAATAACTGTGAACCAAAATTCTATACTGAGAGAATATATTTTTTAAGAACAAAAATACAATAAGGAATCTTTCTGAAAAATAGAAACAGAACCATACTGAAGGAAATTCTAAGGGCTAT